TTCCCACCGTAGTGGAAACACTACACGAAACTAACTCAGCTGTGTTTATTTCATGTGTTTATTGAGTCACCCACATTCTCTACCCCGACTTCCTGATGCGCGAGAGAGGACAGGAAGGAGCGGTGTGGAGCCCAGCTCCCCCAGCCTCTCTGTCGCCAGTTTCAGTGCAGCCGATACAGGGAAGGAACACGGAAGAAAGGCGCGGGTGGTCACGGTCGTTTGTGTTGCCAGAGCGCCACTGCCTCCTTGTCATCTGAAGCCAGGGCTAACTGAGCAGCTGAGTCGCTCCGTCACCTGCCGTCGGGTCAGATCCAACGCATAGCGACCCCTCCTTGGGTTTCTGAGGCATTATCTCTACAGAAGCAGGTTGCCCAGTCTTCCTTCTGTGGTTTGAGCCACTGGCCCTCTGGTTAGCAGCCAAATGCCTTATCCACTACTCTACCAGAGTTCCTTCTGTATGTATCTTAAAAACTCAAACCAAACTCACTGCAGTTGAGCTGGACCCGACTCATAGCGACCCCTCCTTGGGTTTCCGAGGCGGTATCTCTATGGACGTAGATTGCCCAGCCTTCCTTCCGAGGAGTGGCTGCTGGGTTTGAACCGCCAGCCTTCTGGTTAGCAGTCAAGTGCATTAGGCACTGCGCCACCAAAGGGCCCTCCATTCCCTAGTGCTATGTAACAGATGCACCCCAAGCCGGGGCTGTAAGGAGCACGGGTTACCGCTCAGCTGTGGAGGCTGGGAGTCTGAACTGCTGTGTGTGCAGGCCTGGGGGCGTTCTGGGCCATTGTAGCCGCGTCTCACTCTGGGCCCTCACGGACCTGTGTGTGTTCCAGTAGGACCCACAAGGGCACGTTTACAGCCCGGTGTTGATTGGCTGGTTAAGTGTGTGGCAAGTCCAGGACAGGAGCTGGGCTGTGGGCAGCTCCCTGTGGCTTCAGGCCTTCATCCTCCCACCCCCAGCCCCACCCCGTGCGCACACACTAGCCACACGGTCAGACAGAGCTTTGGGTCTCCCTCGGGGCCGGATCTAACCAGAGCAGCTGGAGGGATTGAATGAGAAACACATGTACCGCGTCTGTCCCATGCCCACTCGGAGAGCAGGGCCACTTAGGGTGTGGGATGTGCTGCCCACCTGGTCCCTGGGTCTGCGAGGCCCACTCAGGCGTCAGCCACCCTCGCCCTTTCTCCTCGCTGGCCCCCGAGCCCTGGGGCCTGGGAACTGACCAGCTTTGTGGTCTGGTGGTTTGGTTGGGCTCTTTGCTCACGGTGCCTGTCAGACAGCACAGCTGTGCGGGGACGCCCTCAGAGAAGATGTGGTTACATGAAGCAAGGCCTCGTTAATCTTAGCAAACCGGCGTCCGGCGTCCGTGTGTCCGTCCCAGCTGTGGGCCCTGCAGCACTTCCCGTCGTCATTAAGCTGATTGCTCCTCTGTCTTGGAGACGCTTTCCCTCTGGCTTTGCCTCCATGTGAGGGAAATGGTACATGATGTCCTATTAAAAATTAATTTTCTGAAGAGCCTTGGAGCCGCCCCCAACCTCCCCGCTCCCTCCCCACACCCGTGGCCTTTCTCTGGTGTCCTCAGGTCTCTGTCTCAGGCCAGGCCCTTGTCGCCTGAGCCACGACTGTGGCCACAGCCCCGCTTGTCCCCCTTCCTCACCCCTTCCAGAGGGGTCTCTGGAAGGCCGTGCTAACCCCTTTTGGGGGCGGGGCTCCTGTCGGCCTCCCGGCTCCCCTGTGGCCTCTCCCCACAGTGCCCTTGGGCCTGCAGATCCCAAGCCACACTGTGCTCCCTTGGCCTCTGAGCCTGGAATGTTCTGTCCCTCCTGGTCACCCAGATGACCCATGACCACTATCTGCGCCCTGGGACCGGGTCAGGCCCCTCTGTGTTCTGACCACTGGGGCTGAGGCCGTCGGTGACTGTCCCCCAGCCTGAGTGTCCCTCCTCATCTCTCTACCTTGGTGCCTCGCAGAGGACCTGGCTCAGGGAAACCCCAGTAAGTGTTTGGTGACTGAATGGACGAGCCCCAGAAGCACCCACTGGTCTAGCAGCCCCTCTGTCGGGAGCACGCAGAGCCATGGCCATGCTTGCTCTCCTCCGCGCCCTGGCGTCGGCACGGCACATGGCAGGTGGGCGGCAGTGGTGTGTGCGGCTCCTGGCCACACGCTGTAAGCCTGTGTGCTCGTGGTCACGCGTCCTTCCCCGTGTGGTGGTCATGCAGGTGCGTACAGCTGAACTCCAGGAGGTGACGAGCAGAGCCCCTGCTGCCCAGGGCAAACTCTGTCACCTCTGCGGAGGTGTTTCCACCGCGAGACCTCCTGTCAGACAGACACAGGACCTTCCCGTCAGCCTCCCCGACGTGGACCAGCTTCCCAGCCCCACAGGCCTCTCCTCAGAGCAGGAACCACCCTCCTGTTCTCCCTTTCAGCCCCCCGTGGACGGTCAGTCACTCAGCTCATCACACAGCTCCCCAGGACCCTCGGACCCCCACCTCCTCCTCGCCCCCAGGACCCCAGCTACATCCCCCTCTTAAGCACTCCAGGCCCCTCGTGTCCATTCACACCTACCCCAGGACCCCCAGGTGTACCCACTCCTCCTCACCCCACAAGCCTCCGACCCACCCCCTCCTTCACCCCACAGCCCTCAGCTCCACCTTCCCCCTCACCCCATGACCCTCAGGTCCACCCACCCCCCACAACCCTCACCTCAGGTCCACCTACCCCCTCACCCCATGACCCCAGCTCCGCCCCCCCCCTCACCCCATGACCCTCAGGTCCACCCACCCCCCACAACCCTCACCTCAGGTCCACCTACCCCCTCACCCCATGACCCCAGCTCCGCCCACCCCCTCACCCCATGACCCCAGCTCCGCCCCCCCCCTCACCCCATGACCCCATCTCCACCCCCTCCCTCACCCCATGACCCCAGCTCCGCCCCCTCCTCCCCCTGCCTGGCCCTGCATTGGCCTCCTGACTGCTCACTTCCTTCATGGTCGCCCCGGATTCCACTGTGTACACGCAGCACAGGCCACAGCATCCTTGGGTGTTGTCTGTCTGCCTCAGGTGGCGGGCAGTTAGTTCAGGAGCACGGTCTGTGGTGTCTGTTCTGAGAACAGACCTGGGGCCCGACCGCATCTCCGGGTCAGGGAGCCTCTTCCTGAGGAAGAGGGCAAGAGCCGCCGTTTACCAAAGGCCCCGATGGCGTGTGCACATTCAGGCTCCTTTGACCACTGGGGCCTCTGAGCCCTGTCCTTCCTGCCGCCCTGGGCAGCCGTCACAGCCCCCAAGGTGCTGAGTGTGGGCATGGCTGCCTGCCAGCCACCAGCGGGAAGACAGTCTTTGCCAAACACCGGGAGGTTTCTGGTCAGGTTTCTCCCAGTTGGAGCCCGTCCACGCCTGGGCAGCAGACCTGCAGTGGGGGATGGCCCACTTTGCCAGAGGCCTGGCATCTGCCCCACAAGTTCCCAAGTTCCTTGTCCTCTCAGGGCTCGGTCGGCAGGATGAAGCGTGTACTGAGCGTGAGCAGATGCGCCAGCCAGGTGAGACCTGGGCTTGTTTCTCTGTCACCTGGGAGGCCGTTGAGGACCAAGTGGCTCAGGCCCCTTCCGTCTGTTGCCTGGGCTCCCGTGAACTCCATCCCCTAGTTCACGGAGGACAGAGGCCACAGGGAGGGGCCTCCCCACCACCTCTGGGCACCTGGCTCTGAGGGTAGTTGGTGGGGGGCAGCTCTGAGGAGGGAACGGAGCCCTTGTGCTCGGACTCCATTGTGTGCGCCTCAGGGACGTTCTCAAGTTTGAAACTCCCTAGCAAAGGAGGAACTGCCCTCTGAGCTCTGGTCCACGCCGACCAGCCACCCTGGTCGTGACTCGCCTCCACGCGCACCGTCCCACCATGGCTTCTCATTTGCGGTGGCTCAGTCAGGCAGCTGAAAGTGGCTGTGCTGGGATTTGAACCTGTCGCTGCTGTGGGCTTCTGCTCTGTGCCTGGCAAAGGGCTCTGAAATTTCACAAAGTCCCTTCCCAGCTCTTTTGTGGAGCGGAGAGGAAGAGCTTGAGCCCAGGGCCCTCACACATGGCGCCCATGGGAGCAGTGCGTGGTAACCGATGGTGAAGTCCACGTGCATCGTTTCTGTTGATCAAGGGGCAGGCAGGTGGAGGCAGGTCACAGGTAAGGCCCAGGGCAGCTGCAGGCTGGGCCGCCCTCCCTGAGCCGTCCCGTCCCACCACAGTGGTGTAACATAGGTTCGCACCTATAATGACACTGCAGTGCTGTGTGTACACAGAGACCATATGGTAACGTTTGTGTCCGGACGGTCAACTTGGCAACTGTAGAAGCCCAGCTCAGACCAGCCTGAGTAAACACGTGCAAGTACTGGCTCCGTCCCCTGGAAGGTTCAGAGTCAAACAGTGGCCTCGGGCTGGACCCCTGGCTTTCCGGCTTGTTCTGTAGGCAGGGCCTTGTCTCTTGAGCTACATCCAGCTCCCTCTGTCCGTCTGTCCTCGAGGAGGGAGTGAGAAAGGCAGTCAGAGGCACAGACAGCCACAGCAGGAGCCCAGAGCCAGCGGTCTCCTTTCACTTTACTGGAGTCAGTGACTCAAATCATTGAGTGGCTGGGAGGAGGAAGGCACAGTCCCCAGAGGGAGGGACAGTGGCTTTGACCAGAAGAGGGAAACCAAGATGTCCGCCATTTGCCCTTCACTGAGTACTTTTGGAACAGAGGCCCAGAGAGGGTGAGGAACTTGTCCAAACGCACACAGCTTGGAAGTGGCAGCGCCCAATTTGAACCCATGATAGTTAAGACCCCAGTGCTGCGTCTTCTCTCGGCTCGTCCGTGGTGGGGCTGGGCCTTAAACCCGGGCCGTACCCCACAGCTGGGTCTTTTCCTGTGAGCACAGCGGCTGCTCCGGGGGAGCAGGGAGGGTGTGGGGGATGTGTTCTCTGAAGCCCTGAGCTCTCCGCCGGGCTGCCATGACAGTAATGTGCTGGTGTCTGTGTGCGCAGGAAACTACACCCTGACGAGCGTGCTGCCTGCCGCGCCCGACATGGCGCAGTTCAAGCAGGGCGTCAGGTCCGTGGCCGGGAAGCTGTCTGTCTTTGCCAACGGCGTCATGACTTCCATCCAGGTAGGCCTGTGGGGTGGGGGTCGCGGTGTGCGGAAGCGGGGATTGGGACACGGTGGGCCTGCGTGTGGCTGTGTTTGTCCCCGTGCACCCAGGGCGTGGTGAGAACCTGAAGTCACAGTCTGTATTTGCCGAGATGTTTCCGGAGATGGTGGGAGCCCCCGTGACTGTGCTCGACTGTGCTCTATTGGGCGTCCGGAGCAAGAGTTGTGTTTCTCACAACTTACCCACAGGCCCCACCACGGGGGCAACCTCGGGGGGTGTCTCACCCCAGTTTTAGGCTTCTCTTCCCTCTACTTATTTTTTATGGTGTAAAATATGTACAACATAAATGGTGCTGTTGGAACCGTTTTTAATCGTCCGATTCAGCGGCATTAATTAGAGTCGCAATATCGAACAACCAGCACTACTGTCTGTTCTGAAACCCTCCCGTCACCTCAACCAGAAACTCAGTCCCGTTTGATCAGTGACTGCCCACTGCTCAGCCCCGGCCCTGGGTCCCCGATCCATTGGCCTGTTCTATGCCTCATCGAGTGGACTCAGACAGCCTGCCTGTGTCTGACTGACTGCCCTCGGCGTCCCGTCCATCACCCACGTCCTAGCACGTCTAGAGCCCCATTTCTCTTTACGGCCGAGTAATACTCGCTGTGCATCTGCTGTTAACGTTTCACTGTATTAGGTCTTAGTTCCAGATTTCTGTGCTTATCTCGTAAAATGACAAAAGGGATTCTCTTGTACATACAGTTTCACATCCTGCTTTTCTCTGTGACGTTAGGACCATTTGTGTGTAATTTAAAATAACCCCCAAACTACGTTCTTTTGAGTGCAATTGCATATCTCGTTTACTGAACGGTTCCCAGTGGATGGTGAGGCTGTATTTCAGTCTTGACATCCTTGTACATAAAAACGTGAGCCCATCTCTGATTCCATGAACGGCCCGTGTGGTGAACCTTCTCGTTTAGGTCCGTTTCTCTAGGAGGATTCTGTCACTGATGTAGAGCATGGCCACTGGGACCAGGACCTCATGGACACAGACCCGGTGCCCCTGAAAGCGGCTCCTGGTCCCCTCAGCACCGTTCTGGCCCCAGTTGGAGGGATATGGGGACGCTCCCCACTTCAAAGAATCTCCTTAACCACGCAGGGGTCCCACTGTTGTCCCTTCAGTTGGAATTCCCAAGGCCCTTCCATGCCCTGAGGTCATCCCCCAGGCAGGTGATGTCGCGTTCTGTAGATGCCCCTCCCACGTCGTCCCAGGTGAGGACACAGAGCAGGCCAGGTCGCACACCTGCAGATCACTCACCTGAACCAGCATCGTGCAGCCGGGCTCCAGACACCTCCACTGGCTCCCAGAGGGCTCGGGGTCTGGGCCTCGGGGAAGCTCGCACTTCCCCACCCCGCTCTCCCTCTGCAGCCAGAGGCCTGCTTCCCGCTTGAGGCAGGAAGTCACTGGGCCGGGCGGCTGTGTCAGTTTGCTGGCAGGGACCGTCCTGTGCGAGGAGATGAGGACGGGTGTGTGGGGGACTGGGCGCTGGTGACTCCTCCTGTCTCCTCCCTGCAGGACCGCTACGGCTCCTAAGGCCGCTCCCACCGTTTGCTCCTGGGGCAGTTCCAGTTCCTCTGTGAGCGAGCCAGAGGCCACACCGCAGCCCACAGCGAAGACCAGGCGGTTCCGCGGAGTCTTGCTGCTTTTCCACAGAGTATATATATATATGTGTGTGTGTGCGTGTGTGTATATATATCTCCATTTCCGACTTTTAATATTTCCCTGCACAATCCTCGTCTTTGATGTCGTAGAAGCTCTTCCCTGCTCCGCCTTCCTCCCTGTGTGTGCCCTCCTCGGGCAGGTCCAAGCTTTGCTTTTCTGGAAACTTCGGTGCCACGACAGCCGGGGGCCTGGGGACCCGCCCTGTGGAGTGAAGGCCAGAACCTCTGTTTTGGGGTCTCGTGCTGCGGGACTCAGGCCCAGGGCCCCTGGAGGGTGCCACCCCACTCAGACACATGCCATTCCTGGAGGAGCAAAGACTAAAAACAGTAGGCCAGCAGCGACCGGTGGCCACAGGCAGGCCGCTGCATTGGCCTGCCCCTTACTAGGGCGATTTTAAAATAATGTCTAAGGTCACGTCCCTTTGTACATTGTTTATTTTGTACGACTTAAAAATTTAAAACTCTTTTTCAGTGAGTGCTTCTACCACACCTAAGCTTCGCGGTCTGTCGCTGAGGGAGTTTGTTTTGTCTCTGGCTGAGGTGTGGCAGGTGAGAACTGGAGGAGAGGGTGCCCTAAGCAGGCTATAAACCTGCTAAGGAAGGGTCCCAAAGGGGAGGGTCTCAGTGCTGGGGAGAAGGGGGAGTTGTAATTGGGTAGTTTTGCTAATATTTTTTATCTTAATCTTGGTTTTCAGAAAATTACAGAATGTGTATAATGAATAAAGAAACCCAATCTGGCTGTGTTTTAGACAGCATAGGATATATTGTGCAGCACCATAAAACATACTGGAAATTTAATGAATTGAAAATGTGATTTCAACTGAATATTTTGGGAATCTTTCTTGACAGCTCAAATTTGTAGACTTCTAAAAACAATAAAAAGTTGCAGCAGGCCGTGTTGCCTCTGTGTGTCCCATAAACCTTTCATGGTAACTCCTGAACCAGCACAGGGCATCCCGGGAGGGTACGCGTTTGGGTTGAGAAGGATGCCACCTTACAGACAGAGTGAGACGAGGGAAGAGGCTGAGGCCGAGGCCAGGCGAGGCCGCTCTCTCGGACCAGCCGTTTCCCCCCAGTGAGCTTCCTCGGCGGAGGCCCCTCAGGGTCCAGCACCCACCGAGGGCTCATCCTTGTGTGTGTGCACATGAGTGGGTATGTGCATGCGGGCAAGCGTGTACATACATGTGTGTGAACGTACGTTGTGTGCATGCTTGTGCATACATGCATGTGAATGCATGTGTGTGTGTGTGTGTGTGTGTGTGGATTTAGTCTGTGTCCTTGGTCCATTCATCCCTGGGCCTTGGGGTCTGTGGTTAATTTGCATGAATGTTTCGTATACAAAGGATGTGAGCATTTGTTTTAACTAAACGCATTTTGGATCTCGTGATTGAAAAAGAAAACAGCAGCATGATGATCTAAAGACCTGGTGTCCAGGCACTGCTGGTGCCTGAGGTCTGGGGCCCTGGGGCCACCCCAAGCCCTCTGGTAGGTGACCCGAGCTGTAGGCCGCACGCAGTCACGTCTGCCCCGGGACCCCAGGCTCAAAGCGGCTAGCTTCCGGCCCTGGGGAAACCCGCAAAGGCCAGCCGCCTGAGCAATGCTGCACAGAGAGGGGGGTGCTGACGCTTGTGCTCTTGGGAACAGAGCTGAGCAGAGGCCAGATGATATCCCGGACAGGAGCCGCGTGCCAGGAGGAGTTGGGCAGGCGGGGCTCTGTTTCACAGTCTTTACGAGAAATGAGTTCTCTTTAAAAAATGCAGCATTTCTCCGCCATCTCAGTCCGCTGTGGGGATGCTGCTGAGGGTGAAAATAGCGGGGGGAGTGGCGCGGCCTTTGGAGAGAGTGGCCCAGCAGAGAGAAAGGAGCTGGCAGGAGCCCGAGCCCGGGGCTGGCTCTGCAGGAGGGAGGAGCCCGGCCACAGCCCCCGGGACGACCCCGAGGTCCCTCAGCTGGAGCCAGCAGAGCCTGGCGGCAGGACTCGGGTCCCAAAATTCCCCACCCAGAGCCCTGGGCCCTCCCTGCCTCCCACCCAGCCCGGGACCTCAGCGTGACCACCCCACTCCATCCCCAC